GCTGTTGTTTTCAGCATAGTTTGCTCAAGATGAAAATAACTGAGCTTCTTTTAATACCATTACTAGATTGACACACCACACCCACTAGACACTCTCTTCAGAGTTGATAACCCCACATCACAGAACACCAATCTGAGACAGCAAGGGCCTTGGATATGTGTTTTTAAAGACAACAGAGAGGAGTTAAAATACAAAACAGCAGCACTCTTCCTCCCCACAAGGCCAGCCACATTTTATCCCAATTAGGAGGCCCAGAATGGATTAAAATTCCCAGCCCACGCTTTCCCACAATTCCCCCACACAGAACTCCAACTTCACACAAACAGCAAGAATGACACACACACTCATCCATGCACAAGCGCTTGAAGCTAGTCTGTATGCTTAGCTACTTAGAACTAGTAACGATCACGCTATCAATACTGGACCTGGCCTGGGGATTCACAAGTGGTTGGTGCTGATAGCCAAAGGCTGCATCTCTAAATAAATGCTTAGGAGTGACTTTGTATCTCCAAGAAACACTCTGTGCTTTCATTATTTTTCTTAGATATTCATCGCTTTAAGGCACTGCCAGTTTTAATCACTTAAACAAGAGTTGCAGAGTGCCTAGATGTTACAGTGCTGAATCAATTTTTCCCTCCCATGAGACACTAAGGCCTGACTGTCCATCCCCTCCCTCCTACCCACCCCCACCACCAGAGTGCAAGCTCTTATTTACAGTATTTTTTCTTCTTTGCAACATGGACAGCCTTTTTGGTTGTTTCTGTACAGCACCTAGCACACTGGGGTCCTGGTCCATGCCTGAGGCTCCTAGTTGCTATAGCAGGGGTGGGCAAATGTTTTGGCCCGAGGGCCACATCTGGGTATGGAAATTGTATGGAGGGCCATGAATGCTCACGAAATAGGTTTGGGATGTGGGAGTGGGTGAGGGTGCCAGCTGGGGGTGCAGGATCTGGGGTGGGGCTGGAAATGAGGAGTTCAGGGTGCAGGAAGGGGCTCTGGGCTGGGGCAGGGGGAGGGCAAGGGCTCCGGCTGGGGGTGTGGGCTCTGGGGTGGGGATGAGGGGTTGGGGGTGCAGGAGGGTGCTCCAGGCTAGGACCGAGGGGTTCAGAGGGGGATCAGGGCTGGGGCAGAGAGTGAGGGGCATGGGAGGGGGTTAGGGGTACAGACTCCAGGCAGCTCTTACTTCAAGCACCTCCCGGAAGCAGCAGCATGTCCCAGTCTCCTACGTGGAGGCGTGGCCAGGTGGTTCTGTGCACTGCCCTGTCGGCAGGTACCACCCCTGCAGCTCCCATTGCCCATGGTTCTTGGCCAATGGAAACAGCGGGAGTGGTGCTTGGGGCCAGAGCAGGGACGTGCCGCTGCTTCCAGGAGCTGCATGCGGCCATGGCACGCATGGAGTGGGGCAAGCCCCTCACGTCTGAAGGGCCAGATACAGCCCCCAGGCTGTAGTTTGCCCACCCCTGTGCTATAGTAATAAAAATAATAAATAAGCATCATGAAGGATTCCAAATGGAGTCAATTGAATCAACAAGGTGCTTAAATATGTGCTTAACTTTAATCTTAGATTAGGCATGTTCACACAGCACTTTGAAGATAGTAAAGTTCTACTACTCCTTGTCTACATAGGAAAGTTTTACCAGTTACACCAATTCTGCAGTTACACTAGAATGGCTCTCATGTGGGCACTTATGGTATGAGTTACTTTAATTTATGGTTTGAGTTTATCTTAAACCGGAAACCTACTGACCGCTATACTTACCTACATACCTCCAGCTTCCATCCAGGACACACCACATGGTTCATTGTCTACAGTCAAGCTCTAAAATACAACCGCATTTGCTCCAATCCCTCAGACAGAGACAAACACCTACAAGATCTCTATCAAGCGTTCTTAAAACTACAATACCCACCTGCTGAAATGAAAAAAAAAAAACCAGATTGACAGAGCCAGAAAAGTACCCCGAAGTCACCTACTACAGGACAGGCCCAACAAAGAAAGTAACAGAACGCCACTAGCTGTCACCTTCGGCCCCCCAACTAAAACCTCTCCATCATCAAAGATTTACAACCTATCCTGAAAAATGATCCCTCACTCTCAGAGATCTTGGGAGACAGGACACTCCTTGTTTACAGACCGCCCCCCCCCCCCCCGACCTGAAAGAAATACTCTCCAGCAACCACATACCACCCAACAAAAACACTAACCCAGGAACCTATCCTTCCAACAAAGCCCAATGCCAACTCTGTCCACATATTTATTCAAGTGACACCATCATAGGACCTCATCACATTAGTCATGCCATCAGAGGCTCGTTCACCTGCACATCTACTAATGTGATATGTGCCATCATGTGCCAGCAATGCCCCTCTGCCAAGTATATTGGCCAAACCAGACAGTCTCTATGCAAAAGACGACATCAGGAATCATAACGTTTAAAAACCAGTAGGAGAACACTTCAACCTGTCTAGCCACTCAGTAAAAGATTTAAGGGTGGCAATTTTGCAACTGAAAAGCTTCAAAAACAGACCCCAAGGAGAAATTGCTGATCTTGAATTAATATGCAAACTAGATACCATTAACTTGGGTTTGAATAGAGAGTGGGAATGGCTGGGTCATTACACTTATTGAATCTATTTCCCTAAGTTAAGTATCCTCACACCTTCTTGTCAACTGTCGAAATGTGCCATCTTGATTATCACTACAAAAATTTTTTTTGCCTGCTGATAATAGCTCATCTTAACTAATTAGCCTCTCACAGTTTGTATGGTAACTTTCAACTTATATGTATGTGTTTATATATCTTCTTACTATATGTTCCATTCTGTGCATCCGATGAAGTGGGCTGTAGCCCACAAAAGCTTTTCTAATAAATTTGTTAGTCTCTGAGGTGCCACAAGTACTCCTGAGTCAGCAGTGTGCCCTTGTGAGTCAGCAGTGTGCCCTTGTTGCCAAGAAGGCCAATGGCGTTTTGGGATGTATAAGTAGGGGCATAGCCAGCAGATCGAGGGACATGATCGTCCCCCTTTATTCGACGTTGGTGAGGCCTCATCTGGAGTACTGTGTCCAGTTTTGGGCCCCACACTACAAGAAGGATGTGGATAAATTGGAAAGAGTCCAGCGAAGGGCAACAAAAATGATTAGGGGTCTGGAACACATGACTTAGGAGGAGAGGCTGAGGGAACTGGGATTGTTTAGTCTGCAGAAGAGAAGAATGAGGGGGGATTTGATAGCTGCTTTCAACTACCTGAGAGGTGGTTCCAGAGAGGATGGTTCTAGACTATTCTCAGTGGTGGAAGAGGACAGGACAAGGAGTAATGGTCTCAAGCTGCAGTGGGGGAGGTTTAGGTTGGATATTAGGAAAAACTTTTTCACTAGGAGGGTGGTGAAACACTGGAATGCGTTGCCTAGGGAGGTGGTGGAAGCTCCTTCCTTAGAAGTTTTTAAGGTCAGGCTTGACAAAGCCCTGGCTGGGATGATTTAATTGGGGATGGGTCCTGCTTTTGAGCAGGGGGTTGGACTAGATGACCTCCTGAGGTCCCTTCCAACCCTGATATTCTATGATGATTCTATGTTCTCCCTTCCTTAATGAAGACTAAAAAAAATAAAAGGGGGGCGGGCACTCATACTATAATGGGAGAGAGAGGTTATTCCAACATAACTACAGAGGTTTACATTTACACCCTTTGGTTATACCAAAAGGCCCTTTCCCATGTAACCAAGGTCTAAAGAAGGAGTATTACTCAACTCACCTCTCCAGGTGGAACAAAGCAACTGTTAAACAGTGCTCTGTAATAGCATATTCAGTTGAAACTGCAGGGGGAAGGGCTAGTTAGAATGCAATTGATTAAACTGCAATTGGACCTGAACATGTTAATTCTACTGCTGCAAGATGCCCTTTTAATGGCCTCAAGTGGACAGGACCTCCACTTTCTGATTCATCTAGAAGATAGTTCATCCAAACTCATCTTGGCAGTATTTTGTTATTGAACCAGAGGGAAGAGTGTTAACTGTGTACCGATGCCACCACCTCCTGCAGCATCTTATCGTCCTCATTCAAGTACTGGCTCAGTTGGATCCTGATTAGCAATATCAGATCTAACAACTTTGCAGTTGGGTGATATAGGAATCCCAGTCACATTTTAATTACTGTTAACAGAAGCCAAAATAGGCCCTGGTGATTTCGATTGAGCTCCATCAGGAGTCTGTTGCAGGATCAGAGCTTTACTCATCTGGGAAGGCTGCAATTGAAGCCATGAGATAATACAATATACCAATGCCCTTTAATTGCATTGTTATGAGCTTTGAGAAAATTGTGTGCGTGTGGAAAGGAGGGGGGAAGAGACACTAAAAGAAATTGTTGTGAGAGCATCCCCGTCAGTTCAGTAAATCATTATTAAACGACTTGTAGAATTCAACGTGGATGGTTTAAAGGGCATTCACAGTGCAGGCAGACCTGTTTCTTAAATAACGACAGTACGATTACAGGAAACTTTCTCCCATAAATTGGTTAGTCTCTAAGGTGCCACTAGTACTCCTTTTCTTTTTGTGAATACAGACTAACAGGGCTGCTACTCTGAAACCTTTCTCCCATGTTGAACTAATTGCATCTCAACCACCATAGGCAAGCCCTGCTACAACTTTAACTCCCAGAGAAGCCTCTCAAGGTTGTCCTCTTGAGCCTCAATCTGCTCAGCATTTTAGAAGTTTTATGCAGATCTCTTCTCTCGCCTATTTAGGTGAAGGTATAAACTAAGACAGACTCATGCACACTCTCTCTCACTATGTGACAATACAAATAAATTCCACGTGGGCTCTTCGAACCCACCCCAGCGAACATGATCAACTACAAAATTTGAGGCTAATGTACATGAACCGTGTGAGTGCCCGCCCCCTTCCCGGAACCCAATAGGACTGAGTCCCGACAGGCTCTGCAGACTAACGAGAGAGAACATTCTCATTCATTGTCTAAATCCCCAAGAGAGAGGAAGGAAAGACTTACAACCAGAAGGCTGGGTGCAGCGTTAACAATCGGGCTGCTCCTGCTCCGGTCTACGAACGAGAATCACTCTTAGAAAAAGCCCAGGGAGAAATTAGCTGGTGAGAACGATTGTAAAGAGCCGAAGACCAGGAAACAACAGCACCTAAGAGAGAGTGACACAATGACGGCAGCACACAAGGAAGATCGGTGCACAGCCGAGAGCAGCACAGGAAACGAGACTCACCCAGGAGCAGCCCCGGAGCCTGCCTAGTAAGTTTCACCAACTTGGGTGAAAGGCAAGAGGCTGCTAAAAACACAGGCGTTCCTCGGTTGGTTCCTGCCTCGGTTAGTCCATGAAAGCGGATCACACGTGAAAAGGAAGTCCCCCGCGCTCAGTAAATAATGACACCGATTCTGCAGAGCCTGTTTTCCCTGCCAAGCTCTCCAGTGGTGTGCAGCTGCTGTACTCCTTGGCAGCACAGGAAATGTACTAATCGTGTCTATCAGGCCCCGCCTCTCTTTCGCAACAGGACGCGCACACAGATAGGGTCATTTTACACAAAGGAGAACTTCCAGGGAGCAGTTGTCTGAGTTTGCCTCTCCTTCTGGATACAAGTCTACCCTGACCTCTCCATGCACATCAGCTAGCTTTTTTTTTTTTTTTCAACCAGTGTCTCTAATGGTTTGTAGGGGGGAAGTTCATATACTGGCCTAAATTTAGCTAAGAGAAACACCCACTAATTCCAGTCACGTGCATTTTAGACACTCCCACCAGTTAATTTTTCTATTCCGTTTAATATGATTCCTCCCCCTCCCCCTCCACTATTCAGAATACTTGCCATCCTACAGACTCAAAGGGCTTTACAAATATTTGTAACGCTCATCAGGGTGACAGTGGCTCAGCTGTACTTCATACACACCAGGAGATTAATTAAGGCACACAGCCTTCCTGAGAGGTTATAATTAGCCCACTTCCAGACCTGGCCCCCCTCTGTCTCTTGTTTTAGATTAAAAACTGATTTAAAATTAAAGTATTATATAGAGCATTGCTACAATCCTCATTTTTAATCACAAGTCTTGCATTATTTGCTGTTTGCCTTCAACCCCCCAGCTCCTGGAGTCCTGTGACTAGGTGGGAATCTCACTTTATTTGTTTTTTTAAGCAAAAAGCTAAATGTCTAATCCTCATGGGCATGACAACAATAGTGTATTAATGCCTCAGTGGGCCCTGGTGCAAGAATAGGTTAGGGGCCCCCTTCCCAATTCTGAAATCTAAAATTTTGCTTGCCCACCAATATCCCCATTTGTACCACAACCCACCAACATCCTCCACTCCCTCACCCCCACCAATCCATAGCCCACCAGCACCTTGCCCCTCACCCACTGCCAAGGGAAATTTGTTAGTCACTCACCCCTCCTTCCTCCAGGTCAGTGTTCTGCCCCATCCCAGCCTACAGGCAGCTGCTCACATCACCTGACCCACCCTGTCACAATACCAGCCAAATTTGCTGAGTGGCATCACAGCCTGGCACATGGAGTCAAAGCTCCACTCAGGTTTGGCCCAGCTGCCCCTCCATCATGGTGCAAGGGAGGTTGGGCCAAACCTGAGTGGCACTACAACCCCATGTGTCAAGTTGCAATGCCACTCGCTCACATTTGGCCCAGCTGCCTCCTCTGCAATGATCGGGGTGGGTAGCAGGACCAACTTTGAGTGAGTGGTTTTGCAACGCTGTGTGTGCCAGGTGAAGTGCCAGAATGTCATTCCATTCCCTAAGCTTCTTGGGGGATTGAGTTCAACTGCACCATTGTACAGTGGTACCTCAGAGTTATGAACACCAGAGTTAGTAACTGACTGTTCAATCACACTCCTCATTTGGAAGCAAAGTACACAATCAGGCAGCAGCAGAGACGCCCCCCTCCCACAAAGCAAGTACTTTACAGTGCTGCGTTAAATGTAAACTACTAAAAAAATAAAGGGAAAGGGAAATAAAAAGAAGATTTGACAAGGTAAGAAAACTCATTTAAATTAAGATGGTTAAAAACAGCATTTTTCTTCTGCATAGTAAATTTTCAAAGCTGTATTAAGTCAATGTTCAGTTGTAAATTTTTGAAAGAACCAAAAGGTTTTGTTCAGAGTTACAAACAACCCCCATTCCCAAGCTGTTTGTAACTCTGAGGTTCTAGTGTAGCTACGCCGTGGTGGAGAAAAGCTTGAAAACATTTAACTGAGAACACACTAAAGGCTCAGCAACCAGCAAGCAAAGAAAAAGAATCCAAGAACACATTTTAAAAAATGTGTCTTGTGATTTTTAAATCAATCTCCTGCTTGTGGGGGATGGACTAATTCATGGGTTTTGAACACTTGCAATTGGCAATAATGTTCAGAGAGGTGAGAGTAATCATATAGTCTGGTTTTATGGGAACACCTCCAAGTAAGGAGATTTCCCCAGTCTTCTGATTGTGTTTATGAAAAACAGATCCCTGTTCCTACCAGTCCCTGAACCTGGTTATCATTAGATTGCTCAGACCACCTTCACATGCTGCCCCTGGCTATCATTAGATTGCTGTGCTGAGCTCCTGCACATCAATGTCTCTGCTGGTCACCGGGAACAGCTGCTTCCTGACAGTTACCGCTCAGCTATTCAGGGAGCACCAATAACATGGCTCTCTTGGGTGAATAGTAGGCTGGACCCTCCTGACCCACAGAGTCTCTGCTGGGTGATATTAGCAGGTATCCCCAGCACAATGGCTCTTAGAATTAACACACCACAGAGATATATGAGGCAGTTCCCACCCCTCAGAGCTATTGTTTCAGACTGTCTGCAGCCTGAAGCAGACAGCACTGCTTCGGTTATGCTCAGTTCATTTTTTCAAGCATTTCTTCACAACCTGAGGGCTGCAAACTTAAAAAAAAAAAAGTCTGATGTATTTCAATGCCTCCTTGAGCTGGAGCCTGAGGTACAGGCCTTATGGTGTCTATGTCTTGGTGTGGTCCTGTTGAGTGGTTTTGCAACGAGGAGAAGAGATCCAGGGGTTCTCAACCCATTTACCATTGTGGGCTGCATCCAGTACTACCTGTATGGCCCTGAGGATGTCACATGGGCTGCAGCTCTGTGCTGATTGGGCCGCAAGCAGGCCGCAGGTTGAGAACCACTGCCTGAGCATTGCAGGATGCAGTGCTGGCCATTGGTGCCTTCTTCTCTCCAAGATGCCCTCTTCCTCTTTAACAGTGTAGAAAGTTGGGTGGGAAATACACTGTCACACTCACACCACTCCTCTCTGTACTGGTGTACATCAGCAACTTGTCTAATCTCTGTCCATGCCCTTTGCCTGTGGACACCCATCTCCCCTGCCATCAACATCCCAGACTTTCATTTGAAATGATCTGATCAACCAGGGGGGTGGGGGTGGGGATGGGGGAGAGAGAGTCTAGGAGGCTTTAGTACTGGTAGGCCACTAGCCATGGAGATTGCAGCAATCAACATTTTAAACAGATTCCACATCCTTTGTGACAGGCGTGTGAAAGGGTTGCTGTTATACTGTATGCAGGGAACATTACAGTGGGGTATATTTTCACCTTTAAGAGTGGGGATTACCGCAGTGGTCACTCTTAATGTTTTAGTTGCCTTTGCCACTAACCAACCAACCTTCCCTCTATATTCACAATAGCTCCTTGTTATAAAGTTTAAATAGTATCCCCTCTATTGCAGTAATTGTAACCGCAAAGGCAAACTTGTAAAGTCTGTAAAGCTTTGCTTGGCCAAGGCTTCAATTTTCTCACTAGAATGAAGAGGCTGAAGTGGAAAACAAGACTGATAGAGATGCAAACTGTCATGTTTACACATAGCTCATCAACACCGTTTCCTGTGACCATCACAAAACGTTTCCTAACATTAAATGAGGGACCAGGAGAAGTTGCTGGAATGCGGCACAGGGACCACAGCTGTTCACTAGTCCCTGCAACTGAGGACATTATTGCTATTATAGAATTATTATCTATTGCTTCTCCTGACTGAAGTATGAATTCGTAGGGGAGGAAGGTTCTATTGCTGCCAGGATGTGTCACTGTACGCAAGTGGTTTCACCTGAGATTGCGATGTGTGATTGCAAGCTCCACTGGTTAGGAAAGATATAGGCAACAAGAGAAATATAAAAGGGGATGAAACACATGAGAAGATTCTGAGAGAGTTCAAACAGTCTCAGATAATAAGGCTACAAGAAAATAATTAGAAGCAAAGGAGGTAAAGATTTAGATGTTCTTGTCCTTTTTAAGCCACTAGCCCAAACTGTAGTTTGGCTGAATCAAGCAGCCAGTAGGATTAGACTGGACCATTTATTCCAGCTAACTCACACTGTAATTGCTATTTCACATTTCTCCATATTTTCTCCACCTCATCTCCCTCTAGCATTTCCAATTGGGTGGTGCATGTACTGGCTCATCCACTAAATTAGTCTCAGCTGTAACAGACCATCTACTACGGAAAGTAATTGAGGAACGTTCATTCTCGCTATCCAAGAAGTTCGATAAAGCAATAGTGTGGGAATGACAGAGAGTCTATTATCCTCAATCCACCTGCAGTGAACCACTGTCATTCCAACTAATGTTTTATCAAGTGTTTTCACTGTAGTTCTATTAAATTAGTAATTTCCTCCCAAGCCCATTTTTATAAATGCATATGTATGGTGTATTTATAAAATGGCCAGACTGTACCATTCTGCCCCTCCCCATTAGTCCCATCCCAAATCTCCTATATTAGGAAAGTAGAATGTACATAACAGGAAAAAGGGCACAAGAATATTTGTCTTTCAGCTGCTCCTGTTGTCTTTTCTAACAGGTTTCTTCTAGCCCAGTAGGAATCCATGGTGTTCAATTTCTGGCACATTTATTTACTTTGCAAATTCTTTGCAGTACCCCTTTATCCCTGACCTTCATTACACCTGGAGAAGCAGTGACATCCAGTGGTGAAACTATACAGAGTAGATTTCCTTGTATGTCTGCCTTAAAATGCTCTCTTTGTTTTGTAGGAAATAAATCTGAAAAATGCAGGGAGGATTCCTTGGAATTCTCTTCTTTTTACACAAGCTTGTAAATGGCACCAACTTCAGGTGGTCTCACAGCAACAAGAATATATTACTGACAAAGTGGAAACAAAAAACACAGCATAGAAAACAAACAGAAAAGACCCTGTCATGTAGAGAGTTTACCAGATGACTTAAAGGGACACTGTAAACCTGAGATCTACATCAACATTTTTAAAAGAATGAGTTAAAAGCATTTTAAGCTACTAACATCTGCCCAAGTCTTCCTGCTAATTTGGTGATTTCACAACAGTATCCTGTTTAAAAGGGTGTTCTCATATTTGTGTGGGAAGGGGAAAAAAAAAAAAAAAAACCAACAAAAACAACCTACCCCCATCCCAGACAAAGGGAAATAGGCCACAGTGAAACAGACCTTACACAAATTGCTTTCTTTCACAAACACAGAGTAAACCAACTGAAAAACTAGAGTTTGCTTTCTGATCTCTTCTAGTTATAGCCATTTTACCATAATCTTACTTGTAACTAAAGTAGGCAAACAATTTCCAGACCAAAGTGATTTAAAAGTTGAGGATGTCTCTTTAAAGGAGTCACTCAGATTTTGTGTACCTATTTATTAAAAAAGCA